TGGGACAAGTAATGGGAGCTCACTCCATTATGCGGTGCTAGGGATTTGAACTGCCAAACTGCTGACCTTTCTGATCGACAAGCTCAGCATCTTAGCCACCGCGTCCCTCGCAACATCTATATGGTCCCAATGATAGACCCAGATTGGATCTTGCAATATTTAATTATTTTTGAGAAAGGGAAGTTCAATTTAGTTTTCAAGTATCCACACTTGCTTGGACATTTGCATGAGCAAAATTTAGCTTGTCTCCACACTTTTCTTTCTTTTTTAAAATGGAATTGTGCTATTGCTTAAAAGAAGTGAGAATCACGGAGTCTTCTATTATACAGAGCTGAAAATTAATACACTTGTCAGGTACATCCAAACTGTTTGGATTATACAATACAGTGAACCTTTGACACCTTGAGATGAATCCACTTTCAAAATGGCTGCTAGAAGGGGAAGGAACAAATGGGAGGGGACAAATCTTGTTAGAAAGCTGCTCTGACCCCCTCCTCTGTCCAGTAACAAATGCCGAGACAAACTTAGCTGGAATTCCACAGCACTTTATTAGCAGGAAACATAAATCTTGGTGGCTAAAAGCCCAAGCACAACAAACAGATAAGAACCTTGGCAGCAATTCAGACTTCGACAGATACAGATAACACCTTCTCCAGCATTAAGAATTAAGTTGAATCCTGCAAACCAGACTCCTCCCAGAGTCTCTCTTTAAATACAATCGTTAGAGGAGCCTAATTACAACCATCTGGGTTCAATTATCTTTTGTATCTGCATAGCTGTTCTCTACGTTGATCAGTCCAGCGTTGCCGGGCATACAGGACCACCTCCCTTGTCTCCTCGTCACTGCTCCAAGGCCTGACGTCCAGAGCATACTCCCTTTGGCTTTCACAGCTGCTCCATGCCTCAGGCGCCTCCTGGTGGCCAACCAGTCTCTCTGCGCCCTGCTCGGAGTCAGAACCCTGTTCAGGGTCCTCCACCTCTTCCAGAGCCGACCGCCCTGCTTGTTAGCCGCCCTCAGTCTCTCGGGAATAGGGCGGCATACAAATTGAATAAACATTTCAACATTTCAAACATTTTATAAGGCCCCTCGCTGGTGAAGTCTATTTGCAGCTCCAACGGCTCCTGCTGGGCCACAACAGAAAGCTATCACGTTTATTTATGCCCCTAAGTAGGACATTCTCTACTATCTCTGCCCAGATGGAGAGAGAAAAAAGGTGGTTCATTTATTCTTACCTGACCTGTTAAGACCATTGATGTGTTCCAGTTCCACAAGGATGACTTCAAAAAGAGACATTTAGTGTGATTGACACTCTTGGTTTAATTTAGGTGTCAAGGCTCCCAACTTTCCATGGAGGACTGAAAATTCAATTTCTCCAGGTTTGCATTTTCACTTATTAGATAAAAGGCTTTCCTCGGACACCTGTTATTTGACTGCAGTCTACCTTTGCTCCCCCCCCTCCAGAAATTGACAAATCTATTTAGAATGATTTAATTGGGATTCCTGTATCGAACAGGAGATTAGACTCAATAGCCTAAATGCTCTCTTACACCTGAGTGATTCTACAAGTCCGTGATTTAAGATTTGAAATTAGTAATTCAATTTCAAGAACAGAAGAATTTGAGAAAATGATGTCAGACCTGGGTCTTGAGAAACTAAAGATGAAGTGGAACTCAAGTAGCAGAAAGAATAAAAGAATTAAATAGACTGTATTGTCAGAATAATGGGAGGACCTGGTTTAGAAATTTAAGAAGGGGATATAATTGTTGGTTAGCCATTAGAACCAAATTATAATATAATGCATGAATAATATCATCATCCGTGGCTAAAGGTGCTGAGACTATTCAAACTTGAGATGCTGAATCAAGGATAGCAAACTGCTTTAAATCTCTCTCTCTCCATCTCTCTCTGTTCCTCCCTCCCTCTCCCTCTGCCTTTCTCTCTCCCAAAATCTTAGTCACATATTCTCTCAAATGCTGAAGCCTGCTAATCCAGCATCCTTTGTCCAATTATAAGACAACTTCCAGGTCAGCTCAATTTAGTACTTGATTTGTTATCGCTTGGCGCCAGGAAAAGGCCGTGGATTCTCTCATATGTTTTAGTCCTCTGTATATTTATCTCCCTCTTTTGTGTTTTCTAAAAGTCTCTTTATTGCTGTGATGTTGTCAGATCTTGTAACATCTGGTTTCACCTTTATCTTTAACTGATCCATCAGTGACACCGCAATGCACTTTATGCGAGTTTAGCATTTTCTGATCTGTTTTTATTGAGACTTCATATCTTGAGGACGTCAAAGCATTTTCAGAAGTATTTTTTCCCCCAAGAGTCCAAGGNCCCTATTCTGCTATCCCCAGCTAGTGTATTATGCAAAAAGTAATATACATGTTGCACAGAATATGATCTACATATGGAAATGTTATGACTAGTTGTTTTTCCCCCCTAACTACTTGTATAAGGATTATCCTTTACATTATTCATGTCTTGTATTCTTGCATGGACTGCACCAGTAGAGGTTACACCAATTTCGTTGTATACATGGGGTACAATGACAATAAAAGCTTTGAGCTTTGAACTACAATGTCCACTATTTATTATTATTACTACCAATGTAGGGAAGCTGCTGGTGCCTATAAGTTGCTTATTTCAGAGCTCTGATAAGGGGAGTTTTCAAAGATAATATTAATTGAACACCAGTAGTGTTTTTTTTAGAACCTCTTCTGTGGGTGTGGCCTGATTTGTGGGAGTGGCTTGCCATCCATGTGACTGGGTGGGAGTGGCTTGGTAATCATGTGACTGGGTGGGCATGGCCAACTTGTAAAACTCGGTGAAATTCACGTAACAATGCTTTTGCTTAGCAACCAAAATGTTGCCTCAGAAACTCTGGCATTTGAAGCACGCAAGTCTTAAAGCTGTTACACCCCTAACCCTTTCGAAAAAAACCCCCAGGGATGTTCAAACTTGACAGTTTTAAGACTTTAAAGTTTAGATAGGACTCTTAGAGGCGGGCAAGCCAGCCAATCAGTGAGCGGCGGGCAGGGCAAGTGTGGTGTGGACGGGCGGAGGGAGGGAGCTGGAACCGGTTCTAAACGACACTGTAGATTTATGGAACTTCTTCTATAGAAGAAGTTAGAACTGGCAGGAACCCACCCCTGTTGAACACTGATAACAATGAAGTCACAACTTCAAAAACTGAAGCACACCCACAAGCCTCCCACCCATCAGAGAGGCACTCTTGCATAGATCCATGAAAAGCGCAGAGACCTCGATTGTGTGCCTGCCTACGAAATTCCAGTGAACAGAAAAGGTGCCTTTGAAAGGTGGCAAAATTTATATTTCCGTTCCCTTGGCAACCGAAATTCTACCCTCCAAAAACGGAGGCAAGGACACGGAATCCAGGGAAAAAAAGGAAGGAAACGTTCGAATGGCTTACGGAGACAGCTTCCAGGATTTGTTTCACCACGTGGGCTGCATCCCTCTCGCTGTAAAACCCCCTCTCCACAATCCTGCAGAGAAGAAACAACATGCAGTTTTTATATATATATATATATATATGCAATATATGTGCCTTCACCCTGCACAGCCAGCCTGATTGCCAGTTTGTAAATCTGCTTTGAGGGGGGGAAATGCTTAAAAATAAATAAGCCTGTGGGTGTACTAGTTTCTTTTCTGCTGCTTTAATGTGTGTGGGGGGGGGAATCTTTGCAGCAGAGAGGCAGGAATGGCAGGTTGCTAGGCAACCAGCACATTCCTCTTCCTGGTGGATGCAAAAGGGAGAACGCTGCAGGGGTTGCTAGGCAACTATTCACACATTGCCTCCTCCCTACTCCTCCGTCCCAGGACTGCATAGTTTAATAGAGCAATCTGTTCAATTCAAATGTCTTCTTTTTTTTACAAAAGAAAAAAATGCCGATGAACGTCGTTTAGAAAGAAGTGATCCTCTTTATTTCTTATTCTTCCTGTATGAGGGAGATTTTCCATAGGCCAGTGTTTCTCAACCTTGTCAACTTGAAGGTGTCTGGACTTCAACTCCCAGAATTCCCCAGCCAGCCAATGCTGGCTGGGGAATTCTGGGGGGTGAAGGCCAGACACCCTCAAAGTGACAAGGGTGAGA